TTCGAAGTGATAAGTGACACAAAACGAGATTTCGCGATGCTTACTTTTCCTCTAACAAACTGAATCAGGTGGTCTAATGACAGGCATGCTGACAGAAAGGATAGTTTACGATCGCCTAATGTTTAACGCTGAAAAGCATTCTGAATCACGAGACCACGAGTCTCACTCTAGCTAGGCAGTTCAAATTTCCAAATTACACTTTTTTGTTACTTTGTACTAACCTTCGCCGTTGTCCACTTTTTTCTTCGATTTCCACAACTTCAGGTAAAAGATCTCTGCTAAGATCCCGAGAAATACAAGACCCAAAAAAACTCCTAGAATGGTGAACAGGAACAGATGTGTGGAGCGTGACTTACCGGAAAACACGCTCATGAAGTCACTATCGGAGTTATACACCTGCAATAAAATAAATAGAGATATTGGGCAAGGGTCTAAGCTACACTCTTCAGTGTATCTGATACACTCTACAGCGCATCATCATCATTTATCTTTTATCATCCTCGGGGGAAAATAGGGCGTCCATCAGTTCCCTCCAACCCACAAGAATCTTCAGTAGCTAATGCTTTTGCTCTCTCACAGGAGAAACCCACTCTTTCCATATCCTGCATTGTATCATAGGATGCTAAGCCAAGAGGGTTCATTCAATGCGCAAAATATTTGCTCATTATAATTAGGAGCCAGTGACAAACTGGACGCAGGTCGTACTAGTCCGATCCCGAACGAACGGAAAGATCTGGGATGGACAAGCTGGAATGGGGTTGAGCGGGAAGCTCAAGACCGTGATGGATGGCACTTGCTGCGTGACCTTATGCTCCACTCACGAAGGGGCAAAGAAGATGGGTGAGTGAGTGAGTGACAAACTGGACATGGCTTCGCACGTGCCAATCGTTTCTGAAAATATCGTGATAGTATTCCTTCTCGGTTGACCGCGCCATTTAGGGCCTAATAATAGCGAGGGGTATGACCGAACAGGGTTGCGATTTGTCTTTGTATGTTACTTACCGTGACCGGTTGGAGATGATTTATGAGAAGTTCGTTCACAGCCTGTCCCTCAATCCACCTTTCAAAGCAAGCGCCCTCTTTTGTCAATTCTTTTATTGGGTCGCGGTCACGAATCGCAACATAATACTGAATATCTGCGTTGAAGCTACGAAACACTTTGAATCTTTCGTTATTCCTTTCGGCGAGGTAGTGACCCACTTTGTACTTGTCCATCAGAATGCCGTTTATCTCATTATTCTCAAGCGCGTCAAACATGGAGTCAACTGATGTAAAACCTGAAACCAATGCACCCCATCAAATTATCACCTGCCCGTTGGTAATGGATGGTCCTAGATTTTGTTTTGAAAGCGTTTCCCTGCTCGAATTTTGACCCCAGTACACTGAGCAATATTGCACATGGGGATTGCACGCAAGGAAATTCATTCGTGAGTAACTCTAGCTTGGCTAACCTCACAAGTGCATATTTAACTTATGTATTTACAAAGGTGCGCCCACCTGGCGCTGGGTTTTTTCGACAGCCGATTGTCGTTTGCACTTGACAAGTCCTTCGTCCCATTTAATTCTTCTGATTATACACCTGACTATTACTGGTGAGGTCAAAGACAGGAAAATGTATATCACATATTGAGCTACCGACCTACCTTTCACATCCGCTCCTTTTATCTTTGCTTCTATTCTCGCTGATGTGAGGTTAAGCGCACCAATCTGAAAGTGAATTTAAAAGGCGATTTGCATGATGGCGTCATTTGACTACAACTACCAGAATCCTTCACTATTTTGTCTTTGTTATTCCAATTGGGGCAACTGTTATATAAAACCCACTGGGGCTTCAAAATTTAAATAATAAAGAAAAACCAAAAGGATTTCCGGTAATTGTACTCAAATGATGGCAAAGTGCGAATCTACTATTATAGCTTCGGCGGCCTGAAGGGCTGCCAAGCGGAGCCCCATATTCATAGAGGTGAGAAAAGGAAACCCATGAATTGATTTTCTCGTGGTTATCTTGGCTAGCGGTATTGCTCGTGGGCGCGCTCTACAAAAGGCGGCGGAGTTGCCTAAGAAGGCGACCATACTCTAGCTAATAGGTTGACATGCAGCCTTGGCTTATAGCGTCCTTCTTTGATATTGAACATCCATGTTATGGTCAATTGACATCTGTCAAAACAAGGTATCCGCTGACCTTTATCACGTGACCATGTCGCGGACTCAAGCTTAGATCTCGTAACGTAACGTATTTTTTTAAATTGGCCGCTGACCAAGTGCTGGTTTTCGATTGGATCGTGGGCTCATGTCAAGTTGACTTGTTGTTATAATATACATGAAAAAATTACTGGATTCTGATTGGCTGAGAGCAGTGCAGTTCAAGTGTAACACCAGTG